TTTTACTGACTCAAGACTGAAATTTGCAGATAGAACAGGATTACTGTATATTTTATTGAAATGTTTCCTTTTTAAAGCATTTTATCTTGATGTAAACATTCTGCAGACTTGGTAGTAGGAACAGAAGGATATTAATGCACTAACTCAATATTAAGCTTCTAAATAAAGTATTATAATGTAAAGTACATAACAATGTTTTAAAAAATCAGAATATTGTTAAAAATTGATTTTTCTTTTTTTGCCAGTGAATAATTAAAGGAACATTTTATATTCTGAAACCATCATAGAAGAAAAAAATACTGCAGTTTCATCAGTTTGAATATGACTTAAAAAGAACACAAAACAATTGTACTTTACATTTCTGGAATTATTTCTTCATAAGGATGATTTTTCAATGTAATTAACACCTTCCTCTATTTCAGAAATATGAAGTCAAAAGTATTAAAAAACAGACACTATAATTAAAGTGTTTTGAGTGTGAAGTAGTCCTTTTTCTCTAATATAATATGGCAAGTACATAACATACACTTATTAATAATCTAAATTTAAAAATTTGCCTGCATATATGCATATGGAACTTCCGTTGACATCAGTGGAAGTTGTTTGCATAGATCAGAGTAATGTTGGCCATGATAAGGGTTTATTTTCTCCTAAAATAACAGCACAGTTTTTAAAAAATAAGCAGATAACTAAAATAAGGGAAAAGTTAACTGTAAATACTTATGTTTAATTAAACAAAATTTGATTTTATTATATTTTACAAAATTGCTTAATTTGTAATGTATCATTTTGACATAGTGGAAATTTGAATAAATGTGCAGGCTGTCTGTGGTTGGGTACCAAAGGGAATAGGTTCCTATCAAATTTTTGTTCAAGGCCTTTTAAGTACCATTTCGTGAACTGTTGAACAAAAACTTTTATATGAAATACTCTCTCTTTTAAAACTATATAAAAACACCTCTTCCTTTGCTCTCTTTCGGGTGCAACAAACAGAAATCACATATTAAAGGCTGGGATCTGTAAAGAAGCACAAAGATGCTAGACACCCATTTCTCATTAACGTTCAATGGGAGTAGGATACCTAATTTCTGTAGGCCACGTCTGCACAACAAACCAGAGTTGTCACGGATAACTGCTGGGGCACTATTATTGTTGACAGGCATTGCAGCACCTACATTCATGGTGCACTCAGTACACTGACCATGACTCAATGCTGCTTGGAAAGGGGGTATTATCTATATCAGTATAACAGACCACTTACATCAGTAGGAGACTAAGGCCTGGTTTACACTGGCAGTTTAGGTTGAACTGAGTTTGGTCAATTTTCTAAACAATGTGTCCGTATCACAAACCCCATTCCATTGACTCTGACAGCTATTAAAGTCAATTTCTGTACTCCTGTATGGTGGACTATACAGTAGTACAGATGTAGCATGCTATGAAAGTTGACATTCTTGGCCTCCAGGAAGTGTCCCACAATGCTCTGTGGTGACTGCTCTGGCTAAGACTTTCAACTCTGCTGCTCTTCAGGGGTATGTCTACACTACAGGATAAGGTCAAATTAAGATACATTAATTGCCTAGCTAAAGTTGAAGTACCTTAACTTGAATTTTGGGCACTGTCCACACTGCAGGAAGTCAAAGGAAGAACACTCTCCCTTTAACTTCCCTTATTCCTTGTGGAAGCAGGAATACTGGCCTCAACCAGAGTGCCCCTCTCAGTTCAAATTAGCGTGACTTCACTAGACACACTAATTCGAAACCTGGAAGATCAGCAGCAGCGTTGATGTCTGTAGTGTAGACATACCCCAGGTAAACAGGAAGAAAATTTACATTTCATTCTTGTGTGGCCAGCATAGTGAGCAAACCTCAGAGCAGGCAGCACATCTGAGCAGCACGCCTGACCATGAGTTCCATGGATCCCCAGGGTCACAGATGAGCACCAGCATGGAGTGTGCAGGAGATCCTGGACCTCATTGCTGTTTGGGGAGAGCAATCTGTTCTCTTAGAACTACAAACCCGCAAAAGAAACACTGATATCTCCGCCTATATTGCAAAGGGCATGGAGAAGAAAGGATGTGCCAGGGATGCCCAGCAGTACTGCGTGAAAATAAACCAGGCTTACCAAAAGACAAAGGAGGCAAACCAACGGTCTGGATCATTGCTGCAAACATTCTGCATGTGAGGAGCTGCATGTGATCCTTAGAGGGGATCTGACCAGCTTCCCTAGCCAGTTCATGGATTCCTTGCAAGACACTCCTCAAACAGCATAGATAAGGACAGCATAGATGAGGAAGAGGAAGAAAAGGAGAATGGTCAGCAAGTGAACAAGGCAACTGATGTCACTTAGAACCAAAAACTTTTTAAAACTTTGGAGACAATTAACTATGCCCAGGACATCTCACAATCGGGCACTGATCCTGAGGAGGGCACTTATAGTGAGTTCACATTTTTTATCTTACTAAAAGTGATTAAGGCAATCAGATGTCATCTGTGGCAGCCACTGGGCCTATCCATCGGCAGGTCCATGCAACAGCTTGGTAATGTGCCTGAAGATGAAGCAGGAATCCTCTCAGCACATCTCCATAAAGTTCTCATAGAAGAACTCTTTTATCCTTCTCAAAAGGTTTCTGGGTAGACTGCCTTATTCCATCCTCCATGGTAGGATACCTTTCCATGCCAACCCAGCAGTAAGTTGTCTGGCATCATTGCAGCACAAAGCATTGCAGCAATGTTTCAGGTTTCTGGCCACATTCAGTCAGCATCTGCTCCCTATCACTCTGTGTGATTCGGAGAAGACAGATTATCTTGCCTGGGCAACCTGGATAAAGCAGGGAAAGTTATTAGCTGATGCCTCTGCAATAAACCTGTGTTTGCTCATCCCCAATGAAGCATAGCTTGAGCCCCTTCCCTGCTCTGCCACCATGCCCGGACCCCCTTCTGCCTTCCTACCTACTCCTGCGGGAAGGGACAGTTGTCCTCTTCTGGAAAACGGGGTATGCCAAACACACAGTCGCCACCTGAGCCCCTGTCCTGCCTCCATACCAGGTCCCTCTCTCTCTTGCAAGCTTGTGCCCCTGTCTGCCCCTCACCATACCTACCACTAAACTGAGTCCAGTTGCTCCCCTAAGGTGTACCTGCTACATAGTGGCTGCTTAAAAGCCTAACTATGGCCTTATACATAACACATCCCTATTGTCTTTAGACAGATCTTCCTTTTATGCGGGTTAGGTTTTACATTCTTCAGCCAGTCCCCGAGTCGACTTACGACCGTTCGCAGTTACGACCAAAACTGTCGTAAATGGCAGATCCCGAGTTACGACGCGATCCGCGCTTACAAAGAGCGCGGTCGAGTGTAACTCTATGGGGTCCGACTTACAAACAAACTAAGTTATGGCCAATTGCTTGGTCCGTAACCGGTTCGTAAGAAACAGTTTCTTTATTGCCTGTGTTAAGGGGGGAGTTACAGGCAAGTTCACAGAATTCAGGGCATCTCACTGAGAGCAACATGCATGATTCTTAAAACTGACTATTAATAAAATTGTCTTTTAAAGCCTCTCTGATTTGCACCGCACCTTGCTGTACTCTATTTAGTGCACTGGCGTCTGGCTGTTCAAAATCCCTAGCAGCATCTCAGCCTGCCAGATAACCTTCTCCCTTACTCTCACAAATATTATGGAGCACACAGCATGTTGCCACCACAATGGGAATGTTTCGTTCGCTGAGATTTAACCTAGTCAATAGATTATAGAACCTTCCCTTTAAATGCCCAGAAGCACATTCTGCCACCATTCTGTACTTGTTCTGCCTATATATGAACTGTTCCTTACTGCGGTCCAGGCTGCGGTTATGGAAGCAAGGGATAGACTGAGTCGCCAAGGATTACTATAAGTACGTCAATGTCTCCAATGGACATTTTCCATTCTGGGAAATAAGTTGCTAAAGAGGAAGGAGTTCCTAAAGATGAACGTTTCGTGCACCTTTCCTGACCATCCTACATTGATGTCGATGAACCACAAGTCCCTACAGTACCAAGATGTACCCCTTGCAGTTTAAGTACTCCTTGGCAAGGTGGTTGGGTAGCAAGATGGGGATGTGCATTCCATCTATCATCCTACCAGTTAAGGAACCTCATTGCATTAAAGCCCTCCGCTACATCCTCCACGTTTCCCAGAGTCACTACCCTCTGTAGCAAAAGGGTATTGATTGCCTTGGCTACTTGGATAACAACAGTTCCCACTGTAGAGTTCTACATTCCAAAATGATTCCCAACTGATTGGTAGCTGTCTGGTATTGCAAACTTCTACAGGGTAATTGCCACATGCTTCTCCACTGTCAGAGCGGGTCTCCTTCTGGTATTCTTCTGCTTCAGGGTGGGAAAAAGCAATTCACAAACTTCCATGAAAGTAGATTTCCACATATGGACGTTTTGCAACCACTGCTGATCATCCCATACCTGTTTAACAATGCAGTCCTACCAGGGTGTGCCTGTCTCACGGCACCAAAACCTGCATTGCACTGTGTCAAGAGGACTGAATGCCAACGGCATTTGCCAGACGTTCAACTCAACTGCTTCACACAAGAGTATGCTCATGGTTTTCCGAAATTCATCCTCCTTCTGGCAGACCCTGGATATGCTCTGGACATACTCCAGCATTAGGCTCACCATGATTAATACCATTATCATAAAGCTTTGATGATCAACATGATCCGTGATGCTTTCCATACTCATACTGCTATGGCATCTGTGTCCATAACCAAGGGAAAAAACAGTGCAAAAAGACTGTTTGTTGTTGCTCTCAAGTGGCGGAGGGATAAGGGAGGAAACGAGTGCTTAGGGGATCCTGACAAGATGTATCCAGAACCAGCCGCTGCAGAGTTTTGGTCCCAGCGTGCACTGGGAGCACAACCCAGAATGCAAAGGGGTGCAGTTACTGTGGGATAGCTACCCACAGTGCATCACTCTCAAAGTTGAAGGCAGTCACACTATTGGAGCTACCCACAGTGCATCACTCTCAAAGTTGAAGGCAGTCATACTATTGGAGATGTGTTACTTCGAACTACATCGAATTCTTACTCACAATAGGGACACACACCTTCAACTTTACAAAATCAGCTGCTAAAAAATCGACCTTAATAATTTGGACCTTATCTCTCTGTGTAGACATGGCCTAAGTGTAAACGCATACACAATTAGGTAAATACAAGGTGGCTTATGTCAGCCTAACTTAGTGCATACCAGACCTTAGTATATTTTGATAATCCAAATCTCAACTGCTTACATGTATTCCAGAAATATACATGTTAATACTTTACATTATATCTTTTCTATAATATGTTAAATAGCAACAGTTCATAAATATTTTGTAGAGGAACCTTATGGCATGTTAGAAGAGCATCTCTGTATAAGAAATGCATGGCAGGAATCACAGACTCGTACAGGCTTTGGCGAGGATGGCAGAGGCAATTCGTTGTCAGAACAGGCGTTACAGAAAATTTCACCACAATTTCTACAATGATGCTAAATAAAGATGGAGAAACCAAAGGATATTTTAAATTACACACAGAAAGTGTTGTTATATTTTAAATCAACTGTTCTAACAAATACAGAAACAGAACTCTGAAATTAAACTTTTAAATTCTAAATAAGAAATGGGATGGCTGTTCTGTAAACGTGAAGGAATAACACATGAAAAGCCCCAATCTGTAATTCTTTTCTGGACAGGCTAACCAATCTATCAACCCTTAATTTTATTCCCCTTTCCTAAGTGAGGTACAACTAAAATTATCAAAATCAAATGAAAATGCACTATCAATAATGTTACTACTACCTGGGGCTTAATTTTGCTCTTCGAGTTGTAGAGCAATGCATGCTGTAAAATAATATGATAGAATTACATTTGTAGAAGTCACTTATAGATTTGATTTGAAAATGATCTACTAGATGAGATTCTGGATAGCTATAGGCAGGGCTCGACAATCTATTGAATCTACTTGCCCGTGGCGAGTAGATTTCAGCCCAGCACCCCGTTTACCGGCAGCGCGTGCATGCACAATGCAGCTCTTGCACATGCGCAGTGCAGGACTGGCGAGCGGCTTTCGTCGCGGTTCGTCAAGCCCTGGCTATAGGGATATTACCCAAAAAAGTAAAATAGCTGGGATAATTTAATTTTAGAAACAGAAAATGTGCATGCACAAATACAACTGTCCACACGCTGTTTTTAAAATCCAGGATATTAATTCATATTTCCTTAGTCTTTTGTATAAATATGAATTGCAAATACTTGTAAAGTACGGTACACATGCATATCTCCCACCAACTGTAATAGTTTACTTGAGACAATAACAGATCTCAGAGCACTTAAAAAGTGATTTAAGGGTCAGACCCTAGGTGCAATGCACAGGCAAACCCCTGAGGTCATGAGTGGGGCTCTGGGCAGACACAGGAATCTTCCCACATGGAACATCTTGTAGAATTAGGGCCTGTGTGTATGTAAACACACACAGTCAGAAAAGTTCAAATATAAGCATTTTAGGAAATGTCCCTTAAATAACTATGTATTAATCATGTCTCTCTTGTACATCTAAGAGTAGTCAATTAAACGTTCTTTGCATATGACATTTAAAAAATGGGAATTGATATAGATCTCTACCCAGAGTTACCTTCCTTTTGGAAAGAGAAAATTCCTTTTCACATAACTTGCAGTGTGTTGCCTCTTTGTCTTTCAGCCAAACCTGTCCCTGGAAGGAAGGGAAGAAAAGGAAAAGATTTTTCAGAGAACACAAAATATTTGTGACATGTACAAATGTTGGGGCGCTTGTGAATAGAAGCGCTCATTAAAATCATTATTCTTTACCATTTGTATCATTATAGTAGCACATGGAGCTGTAGCACTATCATGCCAACTGTAATCACTGTCCCTTTGCATGACACAAACACATAAGACACGAAAGAGACAGCTCCTGCCCCAAAAGAACTTGCATAGGCTGTGACAGTCTATACCCAGTGTTCACTCTCTTTACAAAATTATGATAAATTCTATACAAAGTAAACCTTGTAAGGCATCATTTGAAAACTTATTCTGCAGATCATTATTGACCTGGTATAAAGTGTGTGGCAACATGGTATGTAAAGTTGTAAGTATTTATGGTGTTACAGGCAGGCAATAAGCAGCCTGCAGGCCACACACTGTTCGCCACGATTAGCACCTGGCAGGCCACTAGATTCTTTATTTACCTGCGTGCCCTCAGGTCTGGTCACTTGCAGCTCTTGTTGGCCATGGTTTGCCATTCCCAGCCAATGGGAGCAGTGAGAAGTGGCATGGGTTGAGCCACCACTTCCCGCAGCTCCCAGTGGCCAGGAGTAGAGAACCACAGCCAACAGGAGCTGCACATAGCCATACCGGCAGAAACTTAAGTAAATAAAGCATCTGGCGGCCTGCGAGGGGCTAACCCGGGTGAACTACGTCTGGCCTACAGGCCACTTATTGCCCAGAACTGCTGTGTAACATTATTCTGACATGTTTCAAGGTTAGAAAAGCTGGCTCAAACCACTTCTTCAAGATACCCTGATGGCTCAATCAGCTACCAGCATGATCAAATGGACTATCATAAAAAGTAAATAAAGCATCTGGCGGCCTGCGAGGGGCTAACCCGGGTGAACTACGTCTGGCCTACAGGCCACTTATTGCCCAGAACTGCTGTGTAACATTATTCTGACATGTTTCAAGGTTAGAAAAGCTGGCTCAAACCACTTCTTCAAGATACCCTGATGGCTCAATCAGCTACCAGCATGATCAAATGGACTATCATAAACTATCACCTAGTTAAGCAGCTGTAAGCAAGACATTTACAAATTGACAACAAAACAACTGAAATTCCTTTGTGAACAGACTGTTGCCTAACTCCACCTGGAAACATTCCTCAAAGGGGAGAATGGTATAAGGAGACACACATGACACAAATTTCCTCTCTTCCCTCATCTCTACTCAGTCCTACAAATTTTAGCAACTGGAATATCTTTGAGTATGGCTACAGTTGTAGATTGTGATATAGTAGAATGTGCAGAAACCTTCAGGGGAGGTATACTCTGAGGAAAATCATAACAGGCAATAACATTCAGAGATTCATTTAAAAAGTCTCTGAATGAAAATAAGCACTCCCTTAAAATAATCTGAAACAAACAAAAAGAATCTTGGGAGACTTCTAGAATGGTCTAGTTGTCTTCAAGGAAAAGGCTAACACCGTCTTAATGTCCAATGTATAAAAAAAAAAAGAGGGGGGGGGGGGGGGGGGGTGAGTAGTTTGGTTGACATGAAGCTTAAAGAACATCTTGTGTAAGAACTTGGATGAGACTAAAAATACATTCTTCTTGGAAAAACACCACAGGAGGATCTACCATTAGAATACCCATCTCTCCAATACTTTGAGCAAATGTGATGGCCACTAAGAAGGCCATCTTCAAAGGGAAATGTAGCAGCAAGCACAAAGGATTATTTCATGAGGCAGTTAAGAACCAAGTCAAGATCCCAAAAGAGGCATAGAAGTTCAAATTGAATCCTCTTGAACTTTATGTTGTCTACTGTAGCAAAAAGGTCAACCTCTGGAAATTCCCAAGCTAGGAGTATTTTGCTAAAGACTCCAGAGTCCAACTCCAATTCAAAATTTCAAGAGAAACATTTGTTCAGATTGTCTACTAACTGGGTTTTATATTCCTGGGAGGTAAGAAGTCAAAAAGACTATCCAACTGGGTAATGCACCAGTTCCAAAGTAACTCTGCACCACTTTGGCACAGAGTCAGTGGGGAATATTCTCCAACTTGATGACTGATATAGTTTATGCATGCTATGCTGTCTGTCAAGATCCTGATGGACTTGTATCTGAGCACTGGAAAAAAGGGGATGCGAGCATTTCTTATCTCTCAATTCAAACAGATTGATGTGCAAGCACTGTTCCTTTTATAACCACTTACTTTGGACTGAGTGAGGACCCAAATGTGCTCCTAATCCCAAGAGGGAAGCATCCAATGTTAATATAATTTTAAGCTGAACTGCACAAATTTTGAATGATTCAGCCAGCAGGTGAGTGACTGTAGGATCTTTCTAGGTATAGACAGCTGCTTGTTTAGACTGTGTGGATGTGTGTTGGATACACATACAGTTCTGAGCCACCCATAGACACTGAAGATATAACCTAGTGTTTTGTGTTACAAAATGCAAGCCACCACATGTCCCAGAAATTACAGACATATTCTTGCTGGAACTTGAGGGCTGAGCTGCACTCTTTGTATAAGGTTCCTTTGGGCAAGAAAGCAAGTGAGAGGGAGATAAGCTCTGCCCATTATGAAATCTGGATGTACTCTTATGAAGAGAAATCACTGAGAGAGTGAAAATAAGTTTCTCCACATTTATCTGTAGGTCTAGACTTCAGGAACATTGGAGTTGTTTGCACTGCTGACTGTAACTACAAATACGAGCAACCTTTGAGGAGACAGTTGTTGAGGTAGAGAATGGCAGTTATTCCTAAAAAACAGAGGTAGGCAGCTACAACTGCCATCATTCATCAGAATTCCTTAGGGACTCAAGACAGACCAAAGGGTAGCAGATGGTATTAGTAACAATTGTGACTGAAAATGAACTGAAGAAATCTTTTATGGAAAGGATGAATTACTACATGAAAGTAAGCTTCAGGGGGCAGCTGGGTTAGTCTGTTACAGGAAAAAAAACAAATGGTCTGGTAGCACTTGATAGACTAACAAAACATGTAGATGGTATCATGAGCTTTCATGGGCACAGCCCACTTCTTTAGATGACCAGAGTTATGAGTTTGGGACGTGTACACTCAAGCCAGATCCACAGGGAAGCATTGGAATTAGAGTTAATCCGCAAATTCAATTCGCATGCTAATGGACTCAACCGTGATGAAAGTTGGTTAGGACACTACCAATTTAACAACCATTAAAGGTGCAAACAGCTCTCTGTGTTGTATCCTTCTTCACACGGGAGTCTATTGACTGATTTTTATCTGCTTCGGTTTAACTATCCAATCTTCAGATACGTACTGATGCTCTATCTCCTACCTACCTCCCTTTTTCTTCCCTCCCCTCCCCCTCTCCTATTTATTTCGGGTGTACACATCCCACACTCAATCTGATCATCTGAAGAAGTGGCTCAGCAAATTAACAAATGACACACAGGTAGGGGGAGAGGTAGATATGCTGGAGGGTACGGACAGGGTCCAGAGTGACCGAGACAGGTACAAAGGTACAGGATCAGGTACAAAGAAGGGCCACTAGGATGATCCGAGGAATGGAAAACCTGTCTTATGAAAGGAGACTCAAGGAGCTTGGCTTGTTTACTTTAACCAAAAGAAGGCTGAGGGAGGACATGATTGCACTTTTTAAATATATTAGAGGGATAAATACCAGGGAGGGAGAGGAATTATTTAAGTTTAATACCAATGTGGACACAAGAACAAATGGATATAAGCTGGCTAGTAGGAAGTTTAGACTTGAGATTAGACAAAGGTTTCTAACCATTAGAGGAGTGAGGTTCTGGAACGGCCTTCCAAGGGAAGTAGTGGGGGCAAAAGATCTATCTGGCTTCAAGATTAAACTGGATGGATTTATGAAGGGGATGGTTTGATGAGATAACAGGATCTTGGTATCTA